AGGGGCCTTCAAACTTGACAGCTTTAACACTTGGACTTCAATTCCTAGAATTCCTCCTCCAGTCATGTTAGCTCAGAAATTCTGGGAGCTGAAGTCCACAAGTTTTAAACTTGCCAAGTTTGAAGACCCTTGGACTAGAAGATGATCTCCGAGATCCTTTCCTGCCCTAGATTCCTGTGCTATTTCCAGGCATGATATTCCGCTCTGAAAAAAAAATCGGGGCCGGCCAAAAGAGACCCCCCCCACCGCGCGCCCGGGGAGTGCCCGCTGCTTTCCCTCGCCGGGGCCGGGCGGCGGCGTGTTGCACGGAGGCTGGTCTGTGGCTGGCCCAGCTCCCTTTTCCTGCCGCTCAGCGGCCTCCGCTCGCACCGCCCGGGCTCCGCTCAGGTATCCGGCTGGGGCTGTCAGGAGTTGCTACCGCCGGCGCAGCTCCACGCGGCTCCAGTCCCGCATTGCCTCGGGAAGAGAAAGGCAAAACCAGGAGCCGCTGCTGCCGTTGCAAAGCGCCGCCGCGCTTTCCCTTCCTGAGGCAACGCGGGACTGGAGCCGCGCGGAACCGCGCCAGCAACTCCTCACTCGGGGCCTCCGAGGGGAGGGGAAGGAGGAGAAGAAGGGGTGGGGGAAAGGAGGGGGCGATTCCCAAAAAAATCGGAATTCTGATTTTAATCGGAAGAATATCATGCCTGTATTTCAAAGAGTCTTCTGAAACCAGGGTTTGTGTCCTTCCTTTCCTTTTTTTCTCTCTCCCTCCCTCCCTCTTTCCATGTATCTATCCATCCATTCATCCATATATCTCATTTACTTTCTCCTCCTTCCTTCCCTCCTTCTCTTTCTTTCTTTCCCTCCCTTCCTTCCATCCCATCTTTCTTTATCTATCCCTTTCTCTTTCTCCCTTTTTCTTTCTTTCCCTTTTCTTTTCTTTCTTCCTTCTCTCTTCCTTCTCTCTCTCTCTTTCTCTTTCTCTCTCTTTCCCCCCTCTCTTCCCCCCCTCTCCCTCTCTCTTTCTCTCCCTTCCCCTCCTCCTTCCTCTCTCCTTCTAAAGCTAGGAGAGGAGACCCACCTGAAACAAACACACACATACAAACTTTCAAGTGCCCAGCACCATCACTCCTTACGAGGGTTCTTCCTGGTTGGTCTCCTGTCCCGCGTTGCCCGGAAAAACCAGCAGGCAAGGCTTCTGGGTCCAACAAAGGGGCCACTCCTTTGAGACTTCCAAAGACTTCTTCCCCTCCCGCTTTTGGGGAAAGGAAAGGGCTGAGAACTTCAAGTGAGGTGTCTGCTGCAGCCTTGCGCCCCCCTGCGCCGGCAGCTCTGGGCTAGGGAGCGGTTTGGCTTTCCCGACTGCCTGAAACGCTACCTTGCTCCTGCAGCTGGTAGCAGAAGGAAAGGCAAGCCAGCCAGGTCAGAGCTGTTGCCACTTGGCTCCTTGCCAGCCCACATCTCATCCCCTGCCCGGATTCTAAGGCAGCTTCTGGGGCTCGCCTACCAGGACGCATGGGGACCAGGAAGCACGAGGCTACTCTGCCTGCATCGCCCAGGGCAGCCGTCCCTCCCTCGCCATCATTTTGGCAATTGTTGGGGGGGAGGAAGAGCTTCATTTGTTCAACTTCTACCTATCCTACCATTAGGCACCACAAAAAACAGAAGAAGTTAATACAGCCTGACAAGAAACAAGAGCGGCGGGGAAGATGTGAGAAGCGAAGCCAGAAAGTGAAGCCAAGTCCACACTCCCACACAAAGCCCCTCACCTGCCGCATGCTCGGCCCTGCCTCTTGCCCTGCTGCTTCACTCCCGCTAACTTTTCTTAGTTTCCCAACCATCTTTCTACACAAACTTCCCCCACGACCCCAACAGCGAGCTCCCTTATTGGTCCACTGCTCAAGCAGTGGTAGTTGTCAATTTCTAGTGTTATCTCTGTTTGGGTGTTTAGTTACAGCCTCTTTGGGCAATGAGGAGTATCGAGGATACCCAGAAAGATGGAATAAGGTTGCCACACTCACCCTTTCTCCTAGCGCTCACCCACACTTGTGAGCTGCTGGAACTCACCTGCCGGGAGGCGTGGTGACCAGGAAGCATGAAGCTATGCTGCCTGCATTGCCCAGGGCAGCTGCCCTCCATCTCCGGGCCGAGCATTTTGGCAGAGTGCAGGCTGCCGTTGTGACATTGGTGCGACCTCCATGGGCTGGAAGGTACAGGTGATGGCAGGGAAGGAAGATCTGCTCTGGCGAGGCTTGACTGCCTTTCAGGCCCTGCTCTGGGTTGCCACCTGTTCAACCTCCACCCAGCCTTGGGTCCTGCATCAGCCCGCGACAAGGGGACATACCGCTTCCAGGCCGGCCCGGCCAGCGGATGGGCGAAAAGACAACCCTCGGGGGAGGCATTTTCTCTCAGGCCTCCCACGTGGAAGGACCCACAGAAGCCAAAGGTGGGCCTGAAAGGCAGCCTCACCTCACCCCCCCAGGCAGCCCTTTGGCTGATTGTAGCAAACCCGGTGTAGATCTTCCTTCCCCACCATCAGCATTAGGGCTCGCTCACAGCATTCTCAGCAGCTGCCCACACTCGCCCAAAGTACGCAGGTTGGTGGGCAGGAGAGGAAAGAAGCGCCAGGCAAAGGGGCGATGTGGGCAGCATAATGTCGTGCTCCCTGGTCACCACCTCCCCGCACCCATCCCTAGCAGGCAAGGCCCAGCAGCTGTGGAGAATCCAGGCAGGGGGTAAGATCCAGGCTGGTGGGGACCCAAGTGGTGACAGGGCAACCCTGGCTCGCCTTCCTCTCTGCCACCAGCAAGCCAGGCAAGCTGGAGACCGAGGAAGTGGGGAGGAAAGCTTGTTAGGCCGCAAGTGTTGCCTGGGATGGGGCCACACTGGTGGGAAGCCAGCCACCTGAGCCCGGGAACAGTGTGTGGGCCCGCCAATTACCTGTGAGCAGCAGGCAACTCAGGGCTGTTCAATTGAGGTGCAGGCACCACAAGGGAAGGCTAGAATGGCAAGCCATGAGGACCCAGCATGCCTCATAGGAGGGGAGGTATGACTGGGCGGGGCGAGCTGTGCCAGCATTGGGTGGGCAGGGTGAGCAAATGAGCATCGGGCAGGCAGGGCAAGCGAGCAAGTGGCGACCAGGCGGGTGGGTCGGGGATGTGGCCAGCCAGAAGTTACTACCAGTTTGGCAACCCACGCCAAATCCTTCTTACTGGTTCACCCGATCCAGTGGCAACCGGCTGATTACCACCACTGATTAACAGTAAAAATTTGACAAAACTTCAGCTCTTCAAGATACTGTTTTGGAGACACTCTGAATGTGGCTATTAGGGAAGGACAAACATAGTGGAATATTTATTAACTGATACCTGTCTTTATGCAAGCTTATACTGCTGTAATCTGTTTATTAATGCTTATTCTAATGAAGAATTGCTTTAAAAGTCAATGAAAGACAAGTTATACCCTATATGAAAATTGAATTGCATTTTATTTATTTCTAGTAAGTATAATAAAGAAATATACTTTTCCTCTTCTTTATGAAAAATGTATATGAAAACCTCTTCATATACAACATAATAAAACAGAAGAAATGTCAGAAAAATGAGATCTTATTAATATAAATATGAAGTAAAATTATTTATATTTGCAACTGCATTTCAGAATTCTGGAATACCCCTATATAGCAGAGAATAAGACAGAATAAAATTGTGCTCCTGACTTTTGATAGCAGTTTTATTATCATTGATAGGAGCAGAATAGGAAATAAGAATAAGGAATAAATAAGACTTTTTTCCCCATTCTTCTAAGAACTGCTGGACCACCTAATGTATTTGCCTTATTTCTACCACACCTTTCCCACTATGAACTCTCAATACTCAAATAGACACCATTTCTAGTAGCTATCATATAGACATTTTGCACTGGCTTAAAAAGAAAATGTTACAAAGGTAACCGGCTTTTAGTCAATTGCTTGCCCTAGTATCCTGTTTAAATTTCAATTATTCCAGACCTATTGGAAATATTGGAAACCATGGTAATAAGCACAAAGACATTTACTTTCAATAAAGGCTATTTAACTTTCAGATTATATTTCCATCTTTAAAGAAATATGATAACAACTGAAATCTCAGATCTCTTCAGCTTTCAGAATAATCAAAAACTCCATAATGTACAGGAAATACAAGTTTCATGTTTATTTATAATAAAAACAAAAACAATTAAAAGGTTAAATTTCCTTCTGTGATAACATTAATTTAAATATAAAACTATAATAAATATCTCATTTAAAAATCTCTTTCCAGTTACAAAGCCACTATGAAATATCTATAATTTTAACATGATTCCATTTTTATAACAAAACATAGACTGGCAAAGTAATATAACCATCCAAGTTAGTTTTCATAAGTCTTGATCATAAACTTGCAAAATTTATGTGCTAGTTTATATTCAGAATTGCTCTTTAAATTTTTTATGTTTGTTAACAAATTAAATTATCTTTGGGAGAAGAACACAGTTCCATGACCTTAAAATAGCATAAATATTAATTTTCCAATCACAAAATATATTTTATTTGTTAAGCTGCTGTTATGATGCAAAAGATAGAAATATAGTTCAGATTCAGCTGTAAAGTCCATAGTAATCTAAACTGATCTAATCTAATCTGAAATAGTATTACTTCTGCTTGAGTAGGGGTCTGGACTAGAAGACCTCCAAGATCCCTTCCTGTTTTGTTCTGTTCTGTACTGTTCTGTTCTGTTATTCCATTCCATTATACTGTAGACATTATTATTGAATGAAAGGATGCATTTATATATATAAAAAAAGATGCTTGGTAAGTGTTTTAGATTTTTCTAAAGAAAACTCTCACGGTTAAATACCTCTTTAGTATATTATCTGATGTAACTAAATCATCTAGATTTGCAACTGTTATCTGCCATGCACACAAGAATATGCTGAAGTCTAGTAATTTAGGGTAAGAGGCTTGTCCAAATTTTTCTTCATTTTTTTTAAAAAGAAGGTACCTGTGCGCTGACCTTAAAGCACCTTTGCTTCTTCGGTTCTTGATCCTTTCCTACTGCAACTGCACAGGTGACAAGCAGACTCCAGAGATTCAGGGCTTGCATGCAGGCTGCCAACAAAAATCAAGGGAATTGCTTAGGGAATGGTCTACTATATTATCCAATCTTTAGAATTCATCTGCATAAACACGGTAAACATAGGTTTATCTAAATAGCTCCAATTATGAGTTTTATAAATATTTCAATAGTCCATGCTTAAAACACTACCAGAGCAGTTTTATGAATGCTTACTCAGAAACAAATATATACTTATTAGAGTTTATTTCTAGGAAATTTATATTAGAGCACAAAATTAACTTTCAATCCTACAATACTTATTTTTTTCTAGGATATAAATCCTTCTTAGCACAATAGAAATTGTTTCTCTATTAAGGAGCACAGAACTCTCCTGTACAGTATTCAGAATTTAATACAAGTTATCAGATAAAGGTAAAAAACAGCACAAAACTGATTCATACAGTATTAACTTGAAAACAATACCTCTGTTTATAATTCATCAAGAGAAGCTTGTGAAAAGCGCAGCTGCAGCAGTGAAAAGAATTTTTCACTCAGTAACTACTAATATAGCAGCACAAGGTGCAGTTGAGGGCGTTTCCAAAAGTAGCTAATCTCTGGCAAAACAACAACCCCAAGCCTTGTGACGTATATCAGGAAGGCATGGCTCAACTATCTAGCTTGTTAGATTGACAGATAATCTACTTGGATACCAACAACAGAAGCTCAGAACCAAAACAGTCTCATAGACAGATAGGGCAGGAAAGTGGGAGAGGGGGGAGATTATTATAAGACAAGTGATCTGAAATATTAAAGGCAAAAATCTGAATGGTAGTTACAAAACAAAAAAAGGTAATTTTTGAAGAAAAAGAACAGACAATAGATGGAAAGATTTTGGTTTATACACTTTTCATTATATTCTACAGATCGAAAGTCTATAAAAGTGAACCAGATGGGGAGTTAAAATGGTGGAAGGCAGCAACAGCTGTAAAGAGCTCTTCCAAAATTAAAAAGTTTTTTTTAACCTTGTATTTTTAACCCATTTTAATCTATATCTGACTTTTTATAAATGCACATATACTGAACAGGTTACCAGTTTGTTTTAGCTACATTTTAACAATACTATGGATTTTTAAGAATGGGGAAAAGGAGAAAGAAACAGCGTGCACAATCTGTACACAGAGTTCATCCAAGTCATTGAAGCAGCAGAAAATGGAAGATTATAATTTTTAAATCTTACAGCAATAATTGTAAATATTTTATAATCTGTATTTAGGAGAGATATTGGCCTGTAATTTTGAATTCTTGTCTGGTCTGTACCTTTTTTTTAACCAATACTATATTGGCCTCTCTCCAAGATTTTGGTATTTTCCCTTCATCAAGCACAGCATTGAAGACCTCTAATAGATATTGAGGGTATTCTGATGTTCTTTGTATAGCTCTACAGGGATACCCTCTGGGTCAGATGCTTTGTTGTTGTTTTGTTTGTTGATTGCTTTGGCTACTTCTATCATGGTGATTTCTTCATTAAGCATTAATTTCATAGCTTCTGAAGTGTTTGGTAATTCAGCTTTCCTTAGGTAGGTTCTAATCTTTTCTTCTGAGTAGTTTTTGTTTCTTGTATATAATTTCGCATAGAATCTCTGGGCAATAACTTTTTTAGAGTTCTCATCATAATATCTATTCCCTTCTTCATCTTGTAATTTGTTTATTCATTGTTTTTCTCTGTAATTTCTTAATTTTTGTGCCAGCCAATGTCCAGGTTTATTAGCATTTTCAAAATAATTTTGTTTGGTTAGTTTGGTTTGTTGTGCTATTTTCTCTGTTGCCAAAATACATAGTTTATGTTTAAGAAGATCTAATTTACTTTTCAAATTTTTGTTATTAGATTCTTTCTGGTGCAATGCCTCCATTTGCTTAAGCTCTTATTCTAATTTTTCTCAGTGTTGTTTTTTTGCCTTATTTCTTTTTGCCCTATAAGAAATTGTTACACCACGAATATATGGTTTAGCGGTGTCCCAGAGAGTCTGAATTGAAATATCATCTTGTTTATTTATTTTAAAAAAATTCAATTCTTTTTCCATCATTATATTGAATTCCTTTTCTTTGAGAATTGCCTTTTGGAAAGTCCATCTAGGTGTGGCCTTATGTCGTTTCCACTGTAGACTTATGGGACTGTGATCAGCCCAGGTGTTAGTCTCTATAGTCACTTTTCGTATTTCAGAATAAGTCTTTTGATATCCAAACCATGGCAATCCTAGACCAGGCTTTATGGTGATTTGAGTAAAATGTGTAATAATTCTCTTCATTATTCCTTTCTCTCCAAAGGTCTATCAAATTTAGATCTCTAATCATTTCAAAAAATGTTTTGGGGAGTATCCTCCCCCCCTTTTCTTGTATCATTATGTTTGTGGTCTCTTTTCCTATCTACAATTGCACTGAAGTCCCCAACTACACATAACCTAGTGTACTCTATATCAGGGGTCCCCAACCGCCGGTCCGCGGACCGGTACCGGGCCGCGGAACAACCCTTACCGGGCCGCTGGTTGCTGGGCGCCGCCATCTTTTTTTTGGTAAAAAAGCGCTTCTGGTGAGCTTTTCCGGGTAGAAAGCTCACCGGAAGTGATTTTTCGTCATAAAAAGATGGCGGCGCCCAGTTGACGCCGGTACCGGGCCGCGGCGCCCAGCTGATGTCGGAACCGGGCCGCGGCGTCGAAAAGGTTGGGGATCCCTGCTCTATATCACTGATTATGTTATGAAAGTTTTTATAGAAGAATTCTTGGGCTCCATTTGGAGCATATATCGAGGCAATTATTATGTTTTGTTATCTAGCTTAATCTCAACTATTAGAATTGTTCCTTCTTTATCTTTATACAAGGGCTATCCACAAAATAGATTACGTTTTCGTCTGTAGCAAGAAGGGGCGGAGCTAGCGTGGCCATCTTTGGTCTGTGCGTCCGCCGCTCAGTCTGCATCTAGTCGTGCTAGTGGGAGGTTCGTATCGTTGCCCGTTATTTCACAGCAAACATTTGAAATGTGTGCTGCAATTGAAAATCCCGCGAGTTGTGAGGTGCGATCTGCAAGGAAGATCATGGCGACTATTTTTTGGGATAGGCAAGGTGTGCTTCTTATCGATTTTCTGGAACATGGTGCAACAATAAACTCTGTGAGGTATTGTGAAACGTTGCAAAAACTAAGAAAAGCAATTCAGAACAAGCGTAGAAGAAAGTTAAGCTCAAAAATTTTGTTTTTGCATGACAATGCCCGACCACACACAGCAAATCGCACTCGAGAAGTCCTGAATGCTTTCAAGTGGGAGATTTTTCCTCATCCGCCCTACAGCCCCGATCTTGCACCAAGCGACTACCACTTGTTTCCAAGGATGAAGACCTGGCTTGGAATACAGTGTTTTGACGACGACGCGGAACTGCGGGCGGGTGTGACTGACTGGCTCAAATCTCAGGCGGCTGAATTTTATGACAATGGAATTACAAAGCTTGTTCACCGCTATGATAAGTGCCTCAATTTGTTCAGTGAATATGTTGAAAAGTAGTATTTAAGTGTCACTTTCAAGTGTACATAATAAATTTTTTTTCCTACACTTTGTTTTTTTTCTATTGCAAAACGTAATCTATTTTGTGGATAACCCTCATAAATCTGTTTTGCCTTAATCTTAATTTTCACATAAAGAGCCACACCTCTTTTTTTCTGATCTAGAGATATAAACAGGTTCCCTAACTTAGGTTGTTCTAGTCGATGTTTTTGATCATATCTTTTATGGACTTCTTGCAAAGCTATCATATCAGTTTTCATTTTTTGTAGTTTGACCAATATTTTCTGACATTTTATTGGTGAGTTGAGTCTGTTAATATTTATTGACTAAATCCCGCATTCTTCATCTGTCATAGTGAATTCATACATAGTGATAAAAATGGCTTCCTCCTAAATAAACAAAATATAATGTGAGAATAGTCTTAGACACTCTTGAATTCTATGAAGAAAATAATGATCGACAGCCAGCTTTATTATTTCTAGATGCCCAGAAAGCCTTCAACAATGTAAATTCGCCCTTTCTAATGCAACAGTTAAAACACATGGATATTGGTGAAAAGTTTTTAAAGATAATTATGACAATATATGCACAACAAGAAGAAAAAATAATAATAAATGGAGAATTGACAAGTAATGTCTATTTCCAAAAAGGTACAAGACAAGGTTGTCCTCTGTCCCCATTACTATTCATATATACATTAGAGGTCCTAACGAGAATAATTAGGCAAGAGACACAGATCAAAGGATTGGAAATTTAAAAAGAAAATTTTAAATTACAAGCATATGCCGATGACTTAGTATTTTTCTTGGAAGGCGCTGAACAAACAGATCCGAAACTATTAGAAAAACTTGAAGAATATGGAGAAGTAGCTGGTTTGAAAATAAATAAAGAAAAAACAAAAATCATAACTAAGAATATGACCAGCAAACAAAGAGAAAACCTTGTTAAGCTATTAGATATTCAAATAGTACAAAAAATAAAATACCTAGGAATTAATATTTTGGCACGCTGCTCAACAATTAAGGAGGATAATAATGAGAATTTATTGAGACAAATTAAAACAGATTTAGAAAATTGGAGAAACCTTCAACTATCATTAATAGGCAGAATTTCGGCAATTAAAATGAACATATTACCCAACATTTTGTTTTTATTTCAAAATATACCGATCAAATTAGGGAAAAAATTCTTTAAAGATCTGAATAAAATAATGTTAAATTTTGTGTGGCACGGTAAGAGACCAAGAATCAAATTAAAACATTTACAAGGCGCAAAAGAAAGAGGAGGATTAGATTTTCTGGATTGGGAACTGTATTATTAAGCGGCCGCCTTAACATGGATTAAGGATTGGATAAACTTGGAAAATAAAAAACTTTTACTTTTAGAAAGGCACGATCTACAACAGGGCTGGCATGCATATCTGTGGCCCAGTAGACATATGACACACCAATATTTTTTGAGACATAAAATCTGACAAGACCTAATCTCAATTTGGAATAAAAT